TTAGGGTTCTTCGGTGCGTTCATGGCGACTCATGCAGACTTGTCGCTTGTTCCTTTTCGCTCCGACGGATCGTCCATCCGGATGGTTGTGGACAGTGGAGCGACAGACAACTACCTCGACCCTAGGATTGCGGGCTCACATGCGCGACGTTGAACACCTTCGGGTCCCACACACGATCGTCGCCGCGGGCCAGCATGTCCTCAAAGGCGTTACGACGGGGACTATCTTCGGCGCCGTCACGGACGATATTGGGAACGACCGGCACGTCTCCTTTCGCATCATCTTGGTACCAGGGCTGGGTACCAACCTCTTCTCCGTGACATTGGCGATGCCAAAGGGGGCGGCGACGTTGTTTCATCCGGACAACCCCAAGTTGGAGTCGGGGGACATGGTTTTTCCGGTGCAGACCCTCGGGGTGGACGCCACGACCGGAAAACGCATCTACTCCATCGAGGTGAAGCCAGGGGGTGGAACTGGGGGTCCGATGGTCCTCGGAGACGCCCCTGATGCCCTCGGCTTGAAGGTGGAGTCCGCTGATCTCTGGCACCGGCGCATGGGGCACATCAACGGCAAGAGCTTGGACGTTGTAAGGGAAAAACCGGTCAACGGCGTCGACTACACCGGAGACGTGAAGGACTGTAGTGTCTGCCCGCTCGGAAAGAGCGCACAATAACCTCTCCCATAGCAGGCCACCAAGGGCTTCCTGCGCCCCTTCCAGCACGTTTCCGTCGACACCCTTGGCCCCTTCACACCTACAGCGTTGGGCGGATTCAAGTACCCCACCAATTTCATGGGCCAGCAGACCAAGTGGGCGGAGATAGTTCTCATGAAAGACAAGACTTGTTCTGTAGACTCCCCCGCGTTGTTCAACAAAGGGACCGTGGTTCCTACCGGCGAACGCATTCATGCCTCCGCGGGGATCAGGGCACATAATTCACGAGTGCGGAATCCCGTCAGCATTGTCAAGGCATCGGCATTAAGCTGGGGTTCGCCTCTCCGAACATCCCTCAGCAGATCGGAGCCAACGAGCGTGCGGGTCGGACGATTTTGAATGTCGTGAGCTGTCTGCTCGCTGACTCAGCTCTACCGAACTTCCTTTGGGGGGAGCTGATCCAGACGGCAGTCTACCTGAGCAACCGAATTCCTCGTGCAGCCCTGCAAAACGGGACGCCGTACAAGGCGCTCTACGGAAAGGATGCCTACCTTGGTCACCTTCGGGTGATAGGGTCAAGGGCCTTCGTGCACGAAGAGACCCACACCAGGAAGCTGGAGCACCGTGCTTGGGAAGGACGCCTTGTCGGATACAGCATGGACAGCAAGTCGAACCGGATCTACAACTCTGAGACGCGACGTGTACGGGTGAGTTGAAATGTTGCCTTCATTGAGACACCTCCCGTTGCGCCTGCGTTGGATGAGGGTGGCTTCGACGACGGGGAGTTCACGTACGATAATCACGACAACATGGTAAGAGACGTGCGAAACTACACTTTCAACCACTCAGTTGATTCGCTCTCTCCTGATCATGACGTCCGGGACATACCTATGATTGAGCTTCTCGAGCAAATCCGTGGGACAAACAACCGTGACCTTGGGGTTAGTCCTGCAGGAACTCCTCCCTCTGGTGGTACACCTACGGGAGGGGAGTAGTCCCCCCTGAAACAGATGACGGTGCGTCTCCTCCTGGTTCGTCACCTGGTCCTACGCCGCAAGGTTCATTGCCTTCTGGTCCTGCTCCGTCTAGTGCTGTACCGCGGGGTGGATCTGCGCATTCTTTCGGTAGTCAACATCCGGCCTCGTACCATCGCTGGTTGAACGAGCCATGTAGTTTTGAAAGTTATGGTGCTTTGGTTTAAGCAAGAAACAACAGCAGGTAATCTTTGCAAGCGCATGAATGTATTGTTGCACGTGTAAAACATGAAATATCACTTGGTACATTAATTAGTGGTTGAAACGCATGAAACGAACGAGTTACGTTACGCAGGAAACGATTACTTGCTTGATTTGATTTTCATCACTGAAGTTTGGTACAATTCAGAGCAACTTTCAATGAAGGGGAGTGTTATGGAAATGTTAGCACAAAGCCAGTATTAGTCAACGTTCAGTAGCACTGTTGTCTATCGTAGATCTCATATTATAGTCTATAGACTATATTTTTTTTATCTCAAATGTGTCGGTTCGAATGTCGGTTTGAATGTATGCGAATGATTACTGATAAATCATCAGTGTATAGACTTATAAAGACTCGAAAAAAGTCCAGTACCCAGCCGGTTTTCCTCCACTTACTGAAAAGACTCCACCACATCCCGTTCGACTGTGGGTATATCTCGAATGGGTAGTCTTTTTGTGCGTGTATTTATTTCTCCTTAATTTACTCTCGCAGGATTCTCTGCGTGGTGCTTGGTAGCCGAGTAGCTCACTCTCTCGTGTGATCCTTCTGTTGATTGGTTTCAAGCCTAGTGCTGCTGGATAAGCACGGCTGATCCGGCTGACAGGAATTAAGATATGGTAAAGTCGTTTATTAGGTTGCCCTCGTAGGCAAGGAACAGGAGAGAGTGGGTGCCTCGTGCGCCACACAGCATCAAGCAACAGTCGCAAGAAATTCGCCGACGTAAAGACTCATAGACTTTCCGCAAGTTGGAACAAGTCCAACTACCAAAGACAAGTCGGGAGATACCCCGAGGATCCACGCCTGTGGAACGGTCACTTGCACACTTTCTCGCTCTCAATCCATACATGAGTACTACTGCAGTAGCGTTCGTAAGGATGACATAATCCACCTCACGGACACCTTCCGGTATTTGTTGGCCACCTAAGCGCCAGTGTTCCAATATCTCAACATCTTCTTCACTCCGTGGAAGGACTCTCGTCTTCCAGCCTACCCTTTCGCATGTTTCATCACCTCGACTAACGTCGACGACACAGCCTCTACACCACCGTGCCAGGGTATTACACAATATCCATAATATAGTAGGGAAGACATTCTTAAGCCACCTTTGGCAAAGTAGGAAGGAAGGATTGGCCATCGGTAATCGGTCCTGTGCTCCGTCCTCTCGAGGGCGCGTGGTCAATGGTCTAACTGGATGTTAGATATACTCGCAGCAGTATCTGGTCGTGAGGATCCCAGGGGATACGTGTTGGGAATTTCGTGTGTGGTACCACCGGTGCAGTCACGGGGATCCTTTTGGCGTGGTTGGTGCGATGGAGCTTGCGTGCGTGCTGCGCACTTCTTCTTCCCTCTCTCTCCACCACCACCACCGTCTCTCTCCAATCAAGTTTCCTTCTCCCACTCTCTCTCCAACTCTCTCNAAGTAAGGCATGCAAAACAAACATACGAGTACGCCCCCCCCCGCCCCCCCGCCCCGAACAAGCGTTTGGTTATCCGCGATGCCCAATAAACCCATGACATATATATGGTTTGGCAAAGCACACGCGAGGAGGATAGCGAGCACCGCGTGGTTCATCTATCCTTGTGAAACGAAGCCTGATGGGCCGCCGAAAAGCCACAGCATGTCGCTCCGTCCCGGCAATGTAGGGGTGCGAGGTCAACTGTCTACAGTAGTACGACATGCGTTTACTAAAAGAGTTTAACCCCCCCCGCCCCCGCTCCGGGTCTGAAACTGCCGGTGGGATCACTGGTCGCCCCTCCCGTTCGTATGCTCTTCACTTACTTGCAGCAGCCGCGTTTTGGGCTCTGTTTTCCTCTGCTGTATGCTTGCTGGTACACCACAGATAGACAAATACGAGATCTTTTTCCTGTACCACATCGGAACTGAGCACTTACTTGTTCTTATGGCCAATTTTTTTTTTTTGATTTTTTCGAGGCTGCATTTCTTGTATCAAGTTCTTGAGTGCGGGCGCCTACTGTACAAATTCACCCGGACAGGTTTGTACGTATCTCTCTCGCTCGCCCGGATTTTATTCAATCATGAGCTCACTCCAAGGCGAACATGACCACCACCATCTGTCTGTTGCTTGTACACACCAGTCACGCTCCCCCCCCCTCCCTGCTGTCACTCAGCGAGAACGTTTACATGTAGTCGACTACTGCTGTAAGCCTACATGATGAACCACCGCTGTCAATGAAGTATAGTACCTCCTCTTCATAACCCTCCTGTCTCCCTCCAAGATCGAAGAGCTATTAGCTCTGGGTCCATACTTGCGACAAGATAAAGAAGGTGAGCTTGCATCTACGAGATTTTTTACCGTCTCTTTCCTGTGGATCGTTTCTGCCCGTGGATCCAGCGCGCGGATAGAGCAAGCTTGGATATTCAGATTGTAGCAGTCTATTAACCCGTCGCTCCGGTGGTCTAGATGACATCCTCGAAACCCTCTAGAGGTCAGGTCAGGGGTTCGAATCCCGGCGTAAGCGAGCTGTTGTTCTAGCAAAGAAAGTGAGTTTTTCTCTCGCTTCCGCTCCTGGCCTTGAATAATAGTGGATACTGCTAGTTCGTGAGTACACAGAGGGAAGAGAGTGCTAAACTCTAGTCGCATCAAAAATCGGCGGCAACGTACCGCAGGAGGGGAGCGTAGAGAGGGTCCCTTCTGTGTGACCACGGGTTGGAGTAAACGGCACAAGTGCTGTGAGCGCTGATTTGAAGTGAAGACAAAAAGAGGTAATATCTGGAACGGGTATTCTTTCTGTGAGGTTATGTTTACTTTCGAAAAAAAAAAATCTGCCTCGTCTCGCGTGTTCAAGAATTGGAATGTTGAAGGAGAGGAGGTATCAGCCCTTCGCTGGCACCCCTCGACCCTCTTTCCATGAGCGAATTTGTAGTCGGGCCAAGCGCGTTGCTGACGAGGGCGAGAGTCGTATATCATGTCACATGCTGACCCTGCTGGGAGAACATTCAAGCGCTGGTGCTACCAGCTAAACAGCAATGATACCACGTACCCCCCCCAAGCCCGCGCAAGCAGCGCACTCACACAGCACAGCACAGCAAGACACCCAGCACCCCCCCGAGGAGGAGGACACAAGAGCAGGCCCTGGACAGTAGTGCACAGAAGCCAGACTCTGAATTGTAGGCGTGATGAGGGCGTGTTGGGTGCATAGTAGTGTTAGAGGCCTGCGATGTTCTAGAGCTGGTGTCGTCAGCGTCAGGCCCATCATGGATGCTGTGTCCGGGACCAGTAGTGCTCACACTTTCCGCCGATGGTGCATGCCCGAGCAACATGTAGCGCAAAACAGGACTTCTTCCGCTACAGCAGTGTCTCCTACATGCATTCCGGACCTGGCACTCAGAGTCAACAGGCGCAATGACAGAATAAGTGCTGCAAAGCTGGTTGCAGTGCGGTGCAAAGAGACGCGCAGAGGTACCCAGGTTCAACCGCCGCGATCGGAAGGTCCGATGTCTGCTCTGTCATTGCGGCCCTCGCCTGCCTCCGTCCTTGTCGGAGGGCCTCGAACAAGAGCGCTTGGAGCCACGTCGAACGGGGGTGTTTTGTGCGAATTCTCTACGTCTTCGAACGGGACCACGGTGGCGAAGGGAGTTGACGGTGCACCTGTTGCTGAGGCCGAGGTCGCAGAGGTGGCGCTACCTACGAAGGAGGAGCCGAGGCATTCCCACATCGAAATGCCGACGATAACGGAGGTTGGTGTGAGATGAGGATTGTAACCGAATTGCTTCACCACGATGTGTACAGGAGGTCGTCGTTGATAGTTTTCAACTGCCCTTGCGTTTGGGAGGCCGCTGCCTCTGAAGGCGGGACACGTTGTGCATTTACTCTGTACTGCTGTAGTTGGTGGGTTCCAGACCCGTTGGGAAACGCTCTCTTGTCGATCGGTGCAGGAATACCGTTTTTGACACAAGATAACACACCTACATAAGAAAGCACACCCCCCGCAGAATACGACACCCCGGTGGTAGTTTTGGTTGGACCAATAACCAGAAACGGGTATACCCGGGTACTTTATCACCACTTTAGGGTACAGTTAGAAATCAACACGCTTGCCCCAGGCTGTCAGCTGATTGGCCGGAAAAACGTTGTACCCATTTCTGAAGAAATCTCCATCGGGTACAACTTCCGCTGGAACTAGGACCCTCTGGTGTGACCGATATTGGTTACTGGTGTACCCGGAAGGGGTCAATTTTGTCCCCAGAATGGTCATACAATCCCGGCGCCCGACTCTCTAGCATAAAACCCGCAGAAAAAACCGTGTACCGCATATACCGTGTACCACACATACATAACCACAACCAAACTACCAACAACGCTCGCTCGTTCATCGTTCATGGCCACCGCCTTCATAGGATACCGGCCCTTCTCAACAGAGGGTCGGACTCGCTTGCCGCGCGAGTACTTCAGTGTGGTACTGATCAGTAAAAGCACAGAGAGAGAGAGAGTGGCACATAGAGAGAGACAAGCGGGCATGACCTGCCTTGTGCAGCATGCTTCCGAGGCACAGGAAACACAGGACACAGCGGTTTATTGGTTTCGCCGCGATGTACGGCGGATGCTATCGGAGATTGGTGTCGTCTTAGTTTCCAAGTGTACCCTGAAATGGTGATAATCTATTCGGGTATACCCGTTTCTGGTTACTCCGCTTCTGGGCGCTTCTGACAAACCATCGACTTATCACCGGGGGTACATAAGATGACACACCCTGGTGATGTTTTTGGTTGCGCCGCATATAGTCACGGGGCCCCTCCTTGTTTATCACCGGGGTGACAGCATCTGCCCTGGGCAATCACACACACAACCACGGCAGCTGTGTGCGGGGAAACACTCCGCATGGAGAACCCAAACAACATGAACGTGCAAGCAGAGCAGAATGCAGCCGCAAGTACCTCCGCTCCTTCGACAACTGCTTCGACTGCAGCAGCGCAGGCGCCACAGCAGATCGCCTCCTGCTTTGGGCCCGCGCACACCTGTTCAACGCAAGAGGCTCCTACTCCTGCTCCTGCTGATCTAATAGCAGCAAGAGCTGGAACAGCAACAGGCGCGAACATGACAGCCTCCGCATCGCCTTGGCAGCAGCCAGTTGCTCTCGTGCTCTCAGCAGCACGAATGAGCATCGCAGCAGACGAGTCAACGCACACCAGCCAAGCATCTCAGCTTGTGGTGGACGTGGTGGACCAGGAGCCCAGCACTTCCGTCGGCACGGAAGAGCGATCCAAGTGAGTGTACATGTGCTTCGTGGATTTGGCGTAGTATCAGTCCGCGTGCGGTCTCGAAACGTGCAATTGTGGGCTGGCTTTTGCACCACCCGCACACTCCAGGGTTGGTGTATTTTTTATTTATTTTTTTGCGCCACACGTTCACAGTACACAGTTTGAGGGTTTCTGTGTGCAGTCGCTTTTTTTAACCACACGTTCCCGGTACACATTTTTTAAGTTGTTTTGTGTGCATGTGGCTTTTTTTTTCCACACGCTCCCGGGAAATGATTCTGTCGTTGCGTGCCCATTTCGTTATTGTTTCGTTCGCAGTGTTTGTATGGCCGTTCGTCGGTATGGTACACATTTTTAAGTTGTTTTTTGTGCATGATTCTTGTTCATGCATGGCGTTGTGTGCCGTGGTAATGCCGCAGCTTTGTTTGCAGCTGGCATCTCCAATGGTGCTGCTTTGCACATTTATTGTTCACCCTTTTAAGTGTACTTTCAACCGCCAAACGATTTTCGGAAAATTGGACACGATGCCCTTGGCGACCAAAAGTCAATCAGCATACTCTTTGTGAAGAAACAGCTTTGGTTTCCGCCCACACGACACATGTTTCCGTGCGTTCCAACATTGACCGCATCGTGCCTTCTTGCACATATATGTCACTGTTCGTCCTCTGTAGGGTGGGTGGGCGGCACACCCGGAGCGCCTCCATCAGGAGCAGCACCGGCGCCAGCTCCAGCATCGGCGCCAGCTCCAGCACCGGCAGCAGCAAGGCCGGCAGCGGGAGGAGCGCCGGTGGCAAACGATGCTGCATCCGGCGACGTGATGTTTCCCGGAGAGACAGAGTGGGGAGATGGGCTCGGCGGCGTTCTCTTTGGTACCCCGGCACAGAACAAGGGTAAGAGGAAGAAAGGGCAGCTGGAGTTGGAGCCGCCGAACTTCCCGATCCCCGAGCTTGGTGGTGGAAGCCAAAGGAAGCGATACCCTCTGAAGTTTATGGTGGATGCGGTGAGGTACTCACAGAGGAAGATCAAGGGGGCGCAAGGGCCGAACGTGACTGTTGGGATCACCTACGCGACCAGGATCCTGAAGATTCCCGACAACGCGACGTTGGCGGCTTGGGTCAAGAACGTCGCCAAGTACGAAGCCGCGCTGGCGGAAGCGGACACGTTCAAGGGAGGAGGGACGAGCGAGAAGAACGCCGACATCCGCTTGTCGCTCAACGTCGGACGGATCAGGACGCACGCGGCGGCCGAGCGTGGGGTCGTGGACTGGATCAACGAGCTGCGTTCTGACGGCATATCCGCCCGTGTTTCGACGAAGACGATCAAGACCGAGGCCGTCGATTCAATCCGAACTCTTTCGGGGAGAGGCCGGCGCCATCCGAACTCCAGGGCTCCCTCAAGTGCAAGAACAGGCAGAACCAGTGGTGCAGAAGGTTTCTCAGAGTCTACCGCTTCTCTGTGCGAGCTGTCACCAGGCAAGGCCAGAAACTTCCTTTCTGGCTGGCCTGTGGTCGCCACGCTGGCGATCAAGGAGTGGAGGAGGCTGAAGTACGACGTACCTTCCGCGCTCGAACTTGCGGACGGAGTCGAGTGCCTGGGGGTTGTGGCAGGGGCGGGAGGCAGCGCGAGCGGCAGCGGGGGTGGGAGTGGCGCTTGTGTTCTTTCGGGGCCGCGTCTCAAGTTCGCCGTGGCGCAGATCGACAACATGGGCGAAACCCCTACGTGGTTCGAGAGCCCGGGGAAGGACACTGTGAACGTGAGCATCAGTTTTGCCCAAGTTTTTGCTCGTTCTGCGGTAGATGTAGCAATCCTGTCCTTCCCTCCGTGAACGCTTCTTTTGGGCCACCCTTTTTTTTGTAAGGAAGTATCTCTGTCGGTAGTGTGCGTCTTTTCTTTCGTTTCCTGTTCTCTGACTTTGGTAATGTTTTTTGCAACCATTGCTGCCACTTTCCGAATCTTGACAACAAAAGTCGTTTCCACGCACCTCACGTTGATGTCGGTTTTCGCTGTTCTACGAAATCCCGCAGGCCACGGGCGAGAAGGAGATTGCCGTCAAAGCCGGCGGCGAGGAGAAGATGCGCATCACTTCGGTCCTGACGGTGTTCGCCGACGGCAGCAAGCTGCCGCCCCTCCTCATCTTCAAAAGCCAGCTCTCTCCGAAGGGAAAGTCCCCCGCCGCCAACAGCATCGAGCGCGAGTTCAAGAACTACAAGGACAGAAAGGGCTGCGCGTACCCGCGAGGTATGGCCTACGCCGTGGACCCCAAGGGATGGCACTCCCAGCGGCTGTTCGACGACGTTTGGGTGCCGCAGGTGTGGAACCGGCGCCCGGGGTGGCAAGGCCGCCTGGGCGGCTACCGTCAGCCTGACACGCCTCTGGCGTGGGACGACTACACCGTCCACAAGACCGACGCGTCTACCAAGGCGATGGAGGAGTCCAACACGACGCTGTTCCCCATCCCGGGAGGCCTGACTCCAATCTCCAGCCGTGCGATGGCCTGGTCATCAAGATCTTCAAGGCAAACATGTCCAGGCTCTACAACGACCACGTGGCTTCCAAGAACGTCACGCGCAACGACCGCGGCTACCCGGATCCCCCTTCGCGGGGTTTGGTCGCACCCTTCGCGGGGTTTGGTCGCACAGCGGGTCAAGAAGGCGTGGGATGCCTTGACCGCGGATGAAATCCGCTCGAGCTTGAGGAAGGCTGGCCTGCTGCTGCCCTTCGACGGGTCGGAAGGCTGGCCTGCTGCAGGCCTTCGACGGGTCGGAAGACGAGGCCTGGGCCTACAAGAAGCTCGGCTCCAACGCCAAGGGGGAGCCCATCGGCGCGCCATCGGACGCTGCGGACAAGGCTGACTCGTCGTCCCGAGGCGAGAACTTGCTGGAGGTGTTGTACATCGGCGATGATGACGACGCGGGCGTGGTGGTGGTGGACGTGAGCGACGACGAGGGCGAGGAGCTGTGAGGCATCGGCAGCGATGCTGGTGTAGAGAAAATGGCTTGTGGTGTCCTTCTCATGTTTCCTCGGGTTTTTCCTGGCGTGCCTTTCTGTTCCTTCCGTCGTCTTTGAGCGGGTGTGAAGAAACTGTCGGCTCTTTTCGTCGCCGCCTGGAGTGCAACGTTGTTGTGTCTCGTATTCAGTGTAGATTTGCGGCTTGTGTTCGTTGATTTTTGTTCGTGGTGTCTTTGCGCAGCTCTCCTTTGGTCGTACCCAAAGCAAGGCAAGCAGCAGCAAACGTTTTTGTGAGGGGGGCAGGAAGGATGGCTCACGTAGTCTGTGGCCATCGCCAATCATCGTATCGGTCGAAGTACCTTCGATTTTTTATTTTTTTCTTGCTCGATTCAAGCCCGTATTTTGTTTCAAACTTTTTTTGGCGATGAGGGGGTTGCATCGCCGAGGTCATGTGCTCAGGAGTTTCGTCACCTCGGTTGAGCCCCTTTTGTTTTTCCACGCCCCTTTAGGTAGGTCCCTACACTGCACGTGTACGTGCAGGCAAGGCTATCACGCCTCCGCAATACCACACCCTTTCAAGTGTGCGGTAGCAGCGGTACGTCTCTACATGCAGTGTATCACACCCCTTCATTTATCACACCCCAAAGCACACGCTGTGGCTGTTCGGACGTGCTTTCACACGCCCTTTTATCGCACCCTCTCATTTATCACACCCCCAAACACACGCAGTGCCGAGAGAGAACAGAATCTAAGGAAAGAATCCAAGGATAAGGAGGGTCTAGAAGTGTACAGAATGTTAAGGAAGGAAAAGGGTTCTTCAAGGATTACCTACATGGACCAATGGATGCAGGAACAAAGCTTAAGGTCAAATTCAGGACCGGGGACATAGGCCTTCGAGAACGTCGACGAAGACATTGGACGGCAGTCGACGAAGACTAGTCCAATTGTGATTGCGGCTTCGAATGCGAAGACCGTGTTCATGTAGTCGCGGAATGTCCGTTGTAGAAGGAGAGGGAAGTATACGTGACTGAGCTGGGAAAAATAGATAGGACGTACAGGGAAATGTTTGAGGCATGAAATAGAGAGGAAAGGACGGTAGCTTTACTGGGGCATAGGAGGTGGGTTGAAGAGGCGGGAAGGGATATCGTTAGGATAGACAGACTAGGGAAGACATTTTTGAGCCACCTTTGGCAAAGTAGAAATGAACGATTGGCCATCGGTGATCGGTCCTGTGGGAACAATGCTCCGTCCTNCCAATGCTCTGTCCTCTCGAGGAATCGCGGTCAATGGTCTAACCGCTAAGGCATGCAAAACATAAGAGTACGCCCCAAACACATGCAGTGGGTGTTCGGACGCGCTATCACACCCCCTGTTTTATCACACCCCCTTTCAGGAATGCTGTTTGCGGATGATTTTGTCGGTATGCCGGACACCCCCGAGGGACTGCAACTGCAAAGTGACGCGGCGAAGAAGTTACTGATAAGTGGAGATTGTCTGCCAGCGTTAAGAAGAGTGCCGTCATGGTATGCAACGAGAACAAGGAGGAACCAGTAGAACATAGATGGAAGTGGGGGATCGAGGAGATTGCAGTAGTGGACCAGTACACATACCTCGGAGTAGAGATCGCAAAAGACTGCTCGTGGAATGCACACATGTCCAAGGTAGCGGAAAAGGGCAAAGCACGAGCAGGGAAGCTGCACCCAATACTCGCAAACCGGCACCTCGATACACGCATCAAATTGACGGTTTTGAAGAGCGTAATCGTACCGCCGCTAGAGTACGCCGGAGAAGTATGGGAAGGAAATAAGAAGGTAGTGAAAGAACTCGAGGCGGCGCAGATGAAAGCAGCGAAAACCATCCTAGGATGCTCCAGGCGCACAAGTAATGCAGCCGTGAGGGCAGAATTGGGGATCCAATCCCTACGGTCGGGAAGAGACGCGAGGAAGCTGGCATGGCAGTATCGCATATGGGGGATGGGACAGGAGAGGTTGCTGAGAATTGTATGGGAGGCGAAGTGAGCAAACGAAAAGAGGGGTAGACAACCCACGGAATGGTTCAAGGTTGTAGAGGACGTANGTTGGGAAGGAAGTAAGAAGGTAGTGAAAGAACTCGAGGCGGCGCAGATGAAAGCAGCGAAAA